CCCAAAACCCCAAAACCCCAAAACCCCAAAACCCCAATATTCCTCATCGGTTTTGAAATAAATTAATTAGAATATAAGAAAATGAAACGAAGAAGAGGCCAGAAAATAGTCAGCTATAATCATCTGAGCAATGAGAGGAAGTCTGAAGCCAGAGTTTATAATGTCGAAAAGCATATGCAACAAAATTATCCTTCTAAATAAAAGCCAGAATGATGTCTGATTACCTACACTCATGCATGAATCTTCTAAAGGTAATTATCCTTTCAATCTAGCATCTTTATAGTTGATTTGAATAAATCTCAGGAGCGAATCAAGATCACAGAACAGCCTGGATTTGAAGAGGGAAATAGCTCTTTGTCAAATTTAGCTTCAAAGTTTAAAGAGCCAGCTACCTCTTCAGAGGCAGTCGCCATGAACTCAATCTGAAATATTTTAAAGACCCTTCAGCCAAAGCGCAAAGAAGTTATTCCTTCGAATTGTAAATATAGCAAAAAGGATCAGTGCTTTAGAAATAAGGATGCCAAGTGTAATACAAAGGCTTTTAAGAAGGGAACTCATGCATTCAAAATTCAAAATGACTTGCATAGGGACTTCTATCGACGGGCTGCAGATGCTCTTGCCCACGCCCAGTTTCAGCCTCCTGATTGATATACATCTAAGAGTTCTAGTCATAAAAGATGTAGTAGCCAAGCTAATAAACGATCAGATAAGGCTAGAAGAAAAGATTCAAGGCTTTAAGAATACCACAGGGAATATTAATGTTGTAGATCAGTCTGAAGTACCTGATAATGGAAAACTTTCCAATTTTAGTAATCCCTACAGACTTCAGGAAGAGATTAATGATATGAAGAGGAGTCATATTTCTCCACTAGAGAGAACTTCTAGTGCTTGGAAGCTCAACGAAAGGCAAAACCAAGAGCTGCATGATAGTCATCCCTATGACTCTCCGGAGAACAAAGTTTTTGATTGTGAAAGTAATAGACACAAAAACAGCAAACTTCCAAACCAGAAATATAAAAATGGGTTTAATAGAGGAGTAAGGTGTTCAAGTAGGAGGTTTAAGAATGAAATGAATACGAGAAAGATGCCTATCCAAAATTCATCAATCGGAAATCCTGATCTATACAAAACAAATTTATATAACCCTCAGAATTTTTCCAAATTTATCGACCAGGAAAAGATGTCTTATCTTCAAGCCAGTACGCCTCAGAAGAATAGCTCACATGCTATTCTATATAGGCAAGAGTCTGAGGACAAGAGGAAGGTTATCTACTCTTCGATCGATAACAACTCAGTCAAGAATTCCAAAGCCAGACACCTTGATCAAGGGTCTAAACAGACAGTCTTGCCTCAAAAATCAGAGCTCGGAGCTGACAAACAATTTGTATTAGTAGCAAAATTCTGAAAGTTTCATAAGAAGCTTTACAATCTCACTAGTAAGTTTTCAAAATTATAGTTGTAGGCTTTGACAGCAGAGCTGGCAAACGCTCATTAGCAGGTTCAGGCTACAAGTATGCTAAAAGAAGGATGATTAACAGAAATCCTAACTGCAATCATAATAACAACAATATTTTCTACCAGCCTTCTTATGGAAATATTAAGTACGACGATAAGCTTCAGAAGAAAGAAGAGACTCTGAGAAAGTATTTCTTCCCAGAATCTGAAAAACCTGAGGTCCAAGTTCAGAAGGATCCTAATTTTGTCGAAGAGATGGTCAGATTTATGAAGGCCAAGGGCACTCAAAGCTTTATTAAATTTATGAAAGCTGATGTTGTTCGAGAGTTAAGAAAGATATCGGAAAATCCTGATTTTCCTCTTTGGGAAAATGATGGAATTACTAGGGAAAATTGCTCGGAAATTGTGAAGAGAGAAGTACCGCTTGAAGCCAGTGAGACCGTATCGCCGCTCAACAAGATGTCTATTGTCAATAAAACATATTTCTTGATGTTATTACTTGAGAGAAAAATTACAGGGAATAATCTGGTTAAGGTACTTCAAACTTTACAATATTATACTCCACAAAAATATGATGAGACATGCTCTCTTTGTACATGGATTAAAGTGTCAATAAACGATAGTTTGAAGATTTGTCATGATTCTGAGTTTACATTCTTCAAAAAGTTCCAGATTATCAAGAACGAGTCAAATAATCCAAGGAATAAGTTTGTAGCTAGCCAGAAATATCAACCAAGGAGAACATTCTTTAATCCAGGATCTCAGTGAGGCTTTAACAGCGTTCTTGGGAGATCCAAGAATGATACTACAAAGGGCTCATATTTGAGGCAAAAGAAGAGATCAGCTCCAATTCCTATCTGGAGACAGAAGCCTCCAGAAAATAAAGATAAGGGTGAATGGAAGGAAAAAGCTTATAAATAAGTATTTAGACCATATCTGAGAAAGTAACGGAATCCAGATTATTAAGAGCCCAGGTATTAATTTTAATTATCTTTAGCTCAAGATTCTAAGCCTAAAAATTCTCAAAACATGTTTAAGTACTTCATTGGATATGGCAACAACTCTGTTCTTGTCCAAAAAGCCCTCAAGCACCGATTCTGGTGGACAGCTGGCTCCAGAGACGAAGATGAATGGGAAGATTTTAATTTTATTTGGACACAATGGAGAAGAAACCCTATTATTAATACTTTAAAGCAAGAGAAGGAAAATTCAAACAGTGATGATCTAACAACCTGTCTGACAGAGAAAACAACCAATGATTATGCTTCGGACATTGAAAAGGTTGAACACCCAAAGTCTATAGAAAGAGACCTTGAAACTGGGAGCAAAGGAGACTCTAAATGCAATATCAAGGCAAATAGACCAAAACCGAGCAATCCTTTGGCTCAGATTGACATCTTAAATTTGAATGAGCACACTCTTTACAACCATTTAGAAGGGAATTTTCATTTGTCGAACAAAAAGGCTCTATTCTATAACATGAAATCTCTTTGTGACTTCCTTGGAGAAGATGTGTTTACATATTTGCCCAAAACATTCCATATAAAAGAAGGATTGTTTGATCAAGAATTTATTAGATTTGAGCAGCATTTTAAGGAACATGAAAGTGAGCTTAGTAAAGAGGGGAAAAGCCATAATACTTGGATAATTAAGCCTGGAGAAAACACAAATAGAGGATGTGGAATCCAGTATTGCACCAGCTTAGAGGATATTAAGGAAATTGTTGGAAGGAAAGTGTACACAGCTTCGAATGGTTGTCCTAGATCTTATATTATTCAAAAATACCTCGACAATCCCTTCTTATATAATAAACGAAAGTTTGACATCAGATGTTTCATATTAGTAACTGCTTATGGGGGAAATATCCAAGCGTACTGGGCAAAGGATGGATATATGAGAACAGCTTCAAGAGAGTTTTCGTTAGGAAATCATTCTAAATATGTTCATTTAACTAATGACGCTATTCAGAAGCATTGAGACGATTACTCTCGATATGAGAATGGCAATAAATTGTCATACAACAATTTTCAAAAATACCTTGACAAAAATCATCCTGAACTAAAATGTGATTTTCAAAGAGATGTAGTTGCAAAACTAAAGAAAATAGCGTTGAAAGGAGTAGAAAGCGTATATAAGGGTCTCAATCCATCAAAACGACAGCACATGTTCGAGATATTTGGACTGGATTACATTTTAGATGAGAATCTGAAGCCTTACTTACTTGAAATGAATACAAATCCATGATTGGAGTTATCATCAACATATCTATCATACTTGATCCCACATATTATAGAGAGTGCAGTACAAGTAGCTGTTGATCCCTTCTTCCAGCCTTCAGTTTGGCCTAAATCAAAAAGACATTTGATCCCTGAGCCTACTGAAGTGTTCGAGTTAATTTTTAATGAAAGAACAGATTCTCATAAGCTGAAGGGATATCAAGGACCTCAACCTGTGATGTTTGATATAATTGAAGAAGAAGACCTTTAAAGTCATAATTTATTTATTAATAATTAATCAAAAATTTCAAGATTTATTAGAATTGAGGGGTTTTGGGGTTTTGGGGTTTTGGGGTTTTGGGG